GAGGTGCGTGACGCTTTCGTGATGGCTCGTCATGATTTGGTTCTGTGCCGGTTCGCGACGGTTTCGTGCCGCTGCGGGCCGGTTTCGTGACAGGTCGCTATGATCAATAGGTCTTTTTCATAGACGGTTATTACTGAGACACTCTTCTTTACAGCATGAGGTAATCTGCAAATCGCCAGTCTGTTCCTTTGATCATTAGCACCAGCCAGCCCCTTGCAGTCTAAAGTTCCAGTCCACTGCAGTCTGAACCCGACCCAGTACTTCCGTCCGTCCGTGGCCGCAGTGTAGACCGTCTCACCCGCTGTTCAGGGACGTCCATCCGTGTGCCGTTGGTCGCGGTGCTGACTCGCCCCGTTTGCAGGGTTGCTGTCCGACCGGTCACTGACGTATAATTCGAGCTTCTGCCTGGCGGGCCTGGTGCTGGTGCTGTCTGCGGTCCTCGTCCTGGTGCCGTGGCGCTACGCCGCGCTCAGAGCCCGCCGCCTGACCCAGACTTCCTTGAAACGCGCACGATTAACTTCCGCAAGCTCGGAGCGAATGTGCAAGGATCGCAAAGAGTCGTGGAGTATGCGTGGTGCGATTGCTCAGATCGCTACAAAATACATGATCGATTCACAGTTGTGGAATCGAACGATATCCAGGCATTTGAAACCGGTGTGGTGGTGACACGCAAATCGACGAACATCGAATCAGTTCCCAACTCACAAGCATTCCAGGTCCACGAGTAGATTCTCCCTTGTACACTATCAAGCGACATGGTAAGCGTAGACAATATTAATTGTCCAATGACTATATGTAGGGTATGGCTTGTTACGTTTTGCTTCAGTCAAAGCTGCTTCAGGCACTTTAAAGGCCGCTGAGGGTCGCAGGTCGCAGCCCTTGAGCAAAAATAAATAAATAAATAAACACGTCATCGATCGAACACTTTCCCATGCATCAGCACAAATCCTCAATTTAGCCCCAGCCATAATGTATGTGAAAGTACCGCATGAATGTCGCACGAGACAAGCACCCGGATCCGTGCAAGCGGTATGAGTATGAGCATGGCTATTATGCTGCTATGCACCAAATGTGAACACACGCTCGGGTGAGGGAGGGGTTAAATTGACCCTCGAAGGCTTTTCCAGAATGGTTTTCGAACGACGCAGCGAAGCCGCGCCAAATTTTGGATAGCTGTAGACGATTGAATGGCAGACCGTTTGGCATAAAAAATATGTAAGTTGTAAGGTCGCCGACCTATGGCAGGTCAAAGTCGGGCCATGGTTTCAGCGAAGGCATATCCTAGGGAATCCTTCAATATAATCCAATAACGGAATGTTAGACGAAGCCATACATCCTTGAGATGCATTCTTAAGTAACAAAACAGTTGAATGAGCAAATTACATTGACCGAAGGTCAGGTATGAAGGTCACACCAAGGTCAAAACCAGCCTGTTTTGTTACTCCAGGGCTTGCTGTGTGGGATAGTTTCTGGTGCTCATTTCGAAATTATTGGTGGTAGGAAATGCATTATACATTTTTCACGGACTTTTTATTAATCAGAATACGTCATTGATCTAAAATGACCCAGGTCAGCATTTTGTTTTGGAAATATACTGCCTAGCGTAATCTTTGTCGCTTAGTCAAATGCAAAACTCGAAGCAATCTTGCATTATTTTGGTCACCCTCACCTTCAAAAGGTCAAACAAGGTCACTGACCTTGAATGAGCATGTGACCTTTTGCTTAGAAACGGTTATCTAGGTTCTGGGGCATTTTGAAGACCGGCCTGGAACTTGACCTTGTTTAACTTTTTTTGACCGCAGATCATGTCCTAGTTCTACTTACCTGAAAATTCGATCTAAGTTAGTTCACGTACAGGTCAACACACCCTGTAAATTTAGTGTTTCAATCTTTCTTAGTTCCCGATATCTCAGGGGGGTTCAAATTGATCCCCTCCCCACCCGAGCGAGGGGTATTTAGCCGGCCACCCGGGCGCGTGTTATGCAGACCACGTCGCGAGTACCCAAGCGATTTCCAAAGAAGCCGGCTGCCTAAGCAGTGCTGGTTACGGCAGCGCCACCGCACTCAGTACAGGTGTGACACGACACTGCCCGCATCACCGCAGTTTGATGTGGTAAAATGTGGAAATTTGTACCATACGAAACTGCGTCTTAAACTAGATGTTACAACTTGCGAATGCTATTATTCAAATGCCTGGGACAGGTATTTTGTACAGAATCGATGAAACCGAACCTTTGTATATGTGCACGCTCGATAAACGTAGCGAACCTTGTGGCCTGTATTACCAGCTGCAACGACACCTCCACGTCCGCAGCAAACCGACGTCCGTCCTTAAGTCCCCCGATGCACTGCAGATCAGGCCATAGATCGCCTGCCAGGCTGCCGGAGCGCCGCGAACCAATCACCGCCCGGTTTACAGCTCCCCGGCACCGCAACCTCCGACCGCCGAGCGGTCAGGACGCGCCGCGCGGCCGGGGTCAGGGTGACCAACACCAGTAACACGGTCACATATATGCTGTGCTTATGACTGCATGCTTTAAGTGCAATAGTTATCTTGAGAATGATAAGGGAACTGGTCGAAGCGTTGAGCAAATACATGCACTTCGGTAATCTTCTGTGTCGATACACCGAAAATGACAAACGCACAACACGAAGCCTTGAACAAACAAGGCTTTACAAGGTCCTAAACGCGGAATTTGTTGTTTTATGCAACTAACATAGTGTAAGTGAAAACCTGCTGCTAAATACTCCGATAAACACACACACACACACACACACACACACACACACACACACACACACACACACACACACACACACACACACACACACACACACACACACACACACACACACACACACACACACACACACACACACACACATACATATTCCTGATTTTCGCCCAATCAGTCGATCCATCGCTTCTCTCTTAGCCTTTTATAATAAACCGAATTTTTCCCTGCTTTCTCGATGCCTACTACTGTCCAATCGTCTTTGGTGCGGCCCTTCTCGCAAAATTATTGAGCCATCTCAAATTCGTTCTTTCCTGTCTCCTGGCACCCAGTGCGATCACAGCAATGAACTTCATGATGCGAAGGCTGGATTTCAACTCGGTGAAATATGCACCTGAAAAGCATGTCGCTGATGGTAAAGAGATATACTCATTACTCAAGCCTTCCTTTCAATACAGGAACAACAGTGAACACTTCACATCTAACCGCCGCTTTTTCATGTTTTTAGTTCGTGATTACTCGGAAGAAGACAGGCTTATTTCACATCTTATCGTTTTTAAATATCAAAAGCGAGGGTGCTGTCCACAAATATTTGGATGCAGGCCTATTGTCCCGTCCCTTTTCCAAATCCTATGTTATTCTTTAACACCCGTTCAGGTGGAGCTCAAATTGACCCCGCAAAGGTTCTTCCAGGGTGGTTTTTGAACGGCGTGGCGTAGCCGCTCCAAGTTTTGCATGGCTGTATGCAGTTGAGTAGCAGATCGTCTGGCATCACAAATTAGATGTACGTTGTAAGGTCGTTGAGCTATGGCAGATCAAGGTCAGGCCATGGTTTCACCGAAACCAGTTTCTAGGGAATTGTTCGATCTGATCCAACAACGAAGTGTAAGACGAAGCCATACATTTCTGAGATATGTTCTTAGGCAACACAACAACTGAATAAGCAAACTAAATTGACCTAAGGTCAGGTATAGAGGTCAGACCAAGGTAAAAAATCAACCTCTTTTATTGCTCTAGGGCTTGCTGGATGGTATAGTTTCTGGTTCTCAGTTCAAATTTATTGATAACAGGAACCGCATTATACATTTTGCATTGATTTCTTAGGGGTCAGAATAGGTCCTGACCTAGAATGACCCAGGTCAACATTTTGTTATTAGGAACATGCTGCCTAGCGTAATCTTTGTCGCTTATTCAAATGCAAAACTCAAAGCGGTCTTGTGTGATTTCTGTCACCATGACCTTAAAAGAGTCAAACGAGGTCA